CGGGCTTTTTAGCCGGTATTTCTAATTCTTCTTGGCTTATCTCCGCAAAGAATTGTGGCTATTTCTTTTCTTCCATTGTCGGCTTGTGCTTTTGCCGCAATTTGGATTGCCTGGAACGTCCCGATCAAAAGCACGCTTCAAGAGAAAGGATACCGTTGGGTCCTGGCATCTTAAGCAATAAGTACGGATAATGTGGTATTGCCATGAATTTTGCCAGTGCTGGGCGTCCGAGGATCGCATGATATGACGAATCAAAGTCTGCGACCTCAAATTTGATAAACTCTGTTCGATAGTTCGCAGGAGTTCCAAAAGTGACGGGTAAAGTAACTTGTCCGAGTGGCATGACTGCTTTGCCGGGTACTATTCCATAAAAAGGAGTGCTTGTTGGTGTAATCATCCCAGCGAGTTGTAGTCCTGTCTTCCTTAGTGTTTCTGAAAAGATGATGTTGAGTCCAGCTCCCCCGTCGATTAGTACTTTGGTGACACATACCGGCAATAGTTGGGTCTAAGACTAGTGGGTAATGGCCTGCGTTCTCACGCTAGTCCATTGGTCTTCTCTTGAAAATTGGATTGATATTGTGACCAATTGAGATATCTTGGTGTAGCCGGTTCGCCGTCATTATAGTCCATAGTGCTAGTTTTTCTTGACGCTTGCTTGTGCAACTGGGGCCCCGAGAAGATCATCGCTACTGCTCCCACGGTTTTTGAAATCCTTTGTCCTCGTGGTTGTCTTCATCTTTCTTGTGATTGTCCTCTTTGGTGTTCTCCTTACTATCTTTTCTTGTGTATCGATCATTGAAAGTGTAGCGATTTCCGATGGTGTGTCTCCCATTAGGGTGTAATGGGCAACGTATGTTTTCAATGTCATCATATCTTCTGGGTTTGGAAAACTTCTTTGATTTGTCGGCTATTGCCACGGTATTGTCTGGTCTACGCTTTCTTTCTTGATGTATGCTATTTCGATGATTTTGCCTATCCAAGGTTGTCTTGGTTGCTTCTATCCGGGAACCTTTCTCGTGTTTTTTTCTTCCGCAGTAATCATTTTTTCTACTGCTCGTCTCGAATTCTTCATTGTTTCTCGGATTTTCTTTGCGTAAGTCTTGAAATTGCCACCTAGCCATGATTCCGTGAGAGAAAGCTTCAATTACTTCTCGCTTCGGTGATGTCATGCACTTGAGCCCTTGCATTCACCTTTGAATCGCCGATAGTAATTTCTAAGACTTTCGCCCCCTTTTGCTTGAGTCCTTTCATTCAAAGATGAGTGATCGGGTGTGTGATGATACCGCGAAATTTTCACTGTAAAGCTCTTTGCAAGTCTTCCCAAGTTTCGATCGATCCCGGATTCAATTTATCGAACCATTGAGGGGCATCGCCCGGTGCCATGGGAAAGAACAAGGTTTTGATATCATCGTCTCCTCCGGCTAGTTCAATTGATTGTGAATATATTCTCGAGCCATTGTCTTGGTTCGCTTTTGCCATCATACTTGGAGTTGTTAGACGGTTTGAATTTGTGAGGTAATCGATCGATGCCAACCTGTTTGTAAAACAGGGGAATCTATCATGCGTTCCAGCTTCCTTGAATTCGGATTCGGCTCCTTCTTCTCGCCAAGTGTTGTTTTGATGGGAATAATTCTGCGAGGCTGTCTAGGTAGGCACTCTACTCCTGGTCTTCCTTGGTTGTTCAAATTGGCGGCCCCGACTATGTTTCCTCCTACTTTCTCCGTTATGGCTTTCGCCTGGTCCAAGTCTTTCAAAAGCGGACTTCCTTTGATTTTGATCTTCTTGCCTGCGGGTTGTTGATCTGACGGGTAGTCTTGATCGGGTTCTCTCTTCATGCGTTCTTTGGATCGTTGACCGGAGCAAGTCTTGGAGTTGTTCGTACTTCTCTCCGTGATGTGAAGTTACCCTGAGTTCTTCTAATGCTTCTCGAATCTTATCGTAAGGCGTACTCACTGTGCGTCTCTCTTCGGCCTCTTGTTGTGATTTCTTTTTGTCGTATTCACCAATTCGACTCTCAGATCTGGTCCAGCTTCTCTCTGTTTGTCGAGCGGTGTTGGCGCCTTGCTTCAACTTGTTTTCCTTTCTCTAGCTCGCTCTCTCGACTCTCGGTTTCTCCATCGAGGCTGGGCAAAGGTGATATGTTGGACTCGATTCATCCGATGACCGACATCGGGTGCTTCGGGGTTTAATGGTGACCGAGGACGTCGAACCATGAGCACTTCCTGTGCGTGAGCCGTTCTGTTATTGGTGTTAGTTTTCATACTGTCGGAGTTGCTGATGACTTCAGTAGGCGCCTCGACGTCGAGATCGAGTCTCCTTCTTGGTAAGGTAGAATATTTGTTGTTGTTGTGCCGACTAGTTGGGTTCCGCTATCCTCGTGAACGGATCTCGCCGATGGATGATCTGATCTTGCGATGTTATCGTTAGTACGAGACCCTCCTGAGCTCCTGTCAGTGGTATCCCAAGTGTTGGTTTGAAAGATCTTTCAAACTGTCCCTGATAGGATTTTATCGTGTTGTCGAGCCCAAATGGAAAAGAACTCGGCCTTTTGAAAGAACTCTGAGGATAATCCGAGTTGTTTTGGGTTGTGCTCTGGAATCTTGCCAAAAAGGAACTCGATTTCTTGAAAGCACTCGAATAAGACTTCATCTCGGATACGGAGCTTGAATTCGAGTCGGATGCGTGTAGCCGTGGAATCTTATTCAAATCGGGTATTATGGGCTGCGCGAATCTTCTGGTGAGATGATCCGTCGTAGTTGTCGAAATAGAGGATTCTTCATGATGATCCGGATCTTTGAGGAGATGGCTTTGAAGCTTGTCGTAGTTGTCCGCCTCGCAGATCCATGAGCCGAAGATGAAAATCGATCCCGTCGGGAAGGTCATGTTATTGAGGTCCATCGAGGTTTCGGATGCAAAGTCGCCGAAAGCCCCTACCTGGCGCGCCAGCTGTCGATGTTTTACCACCGATAGCCTGCCACAGGGGTACCGTGGCAGTATGGTTCGGGCTTCGGCGTATGCTGAACTCGATGGTAAACGCAAGAGACAAATCGATTTATCTGGTTTCAGCCCTCGATCGTAGATCGAGTAACGATTTACGCCCGGTCGGCGTTTGCCTTTTTTGCGTTGGATTGATTATGAAGTGTTATGTTGTACAATTGTTGTTCTCTCTTTCAGGCGCCCTGGCCTCCTTTATATTATCAGGAGGCCAGAGTCCTAGTCGGTTTACAATGAGATTTCCTAGTAGGATTACTTAATAGTTCTTCTATTTAAGATTACATGGGAAGAATCCTAGTTGAACTAGATCTTTTATCTCTCTTGCGGGATATCCTGTAGGTCCCACATCGACAGGCGCGTAGAACCTTTTGGACGTTAGCCACAACATTAGGCAACCAGCTGGATCGGAGTGTACCAAAAGTAAACTTGGATGCAGTGTCATGAAAAAGGGAGGGTTTGAGATCCAAGCAAGCGCGAGAGCCGTGGTAGCTTTGATAATATATTAGTCAACGGATACACGGCCATTGGCCAAGCTAGGCCAAGGTGGCTCCTCACGGAATCCAACCCCAAGTAAACACAACTTGCGCGCCACGGATCATATGTACATTCTCGGCTTTACTGTACAATATTCTCTCCATCTCAAACTGTAAGTTATTTTAATTTATTTGAGAGTCAAATCATTCCACGGTGCTATAGCGCTGCGCACCATGCATGGATTGGTAGAAAAAGTTGATTTTGTTATTACCTCATCACTTATCTTACTTGGTCCCATGTGACTGCATATGATGCCTTGTAAGTAGAAAATTCAGCCCTTACATGTGGATTGAAGTGAATTAGAATCCAACCAAACAAGATCTCAAGCTAAAATGAGAGCCCTCTTATTTTATATTTTCGAATTAATTAGGTAATGGGCTGTACGGCTTTTTTTTATATTGGTTATGACCGCTAGCAGTTTTTCCTCGCCTCAATTACCGGATGAAAGGAAAATACTCAAATCAAATTAAGGAACTTTTTGGATTTTCTTCTTTAAACTTTAGAGCTAAGCTCCAAACAAGTGGTCTAAAGTTAATTAGCTCTAAGCTTTAGCCACCTCATATTAGAGCTTTAGAGTTCAAAAGTGAGAACTGCTCTAAAGTTTTTGGAGCAAGTTTGGAGTCCAAACAGACCCTAATAACCCCAAAGTTTGTGACGCACAGAAGATCCACATGCGGAGAAAAGAAGCCTTCATCTCAATGTCCCATTGAGACGTACGCCACCGTATAATGTTCTTTAGACAGGGGACGCCAATACGCCATCGTATAATTCACGCACGAAGCATATCTTTATCTCTCCACATTGCACTCAGCGTCGGCCCACCCGAACCGAACAAACATCGCAATCGCGCACAAACTCTAATTGGAACCAAGACCCCGTCCAGAATTGCAGATCCCAGCCGAGGCGACCTAACCAGCCGGCCGGCAAGTTCCTGATGGCTTTGCCATCGACAGACGACAGGCACAATGAAGCGTTGTGCGTCTCGGGCTCTCGGATGCTGGAGCTAATACACCTGGCAAGCCAGCCTTTGAGGTTTGTATGGCGGCCATCTGGCATTGCCCGCCCCTTGGACATGTTCCAAGAGCCTTCGTTAATCCCGCGGCCATCTTCATTTGGTTCCTTCCGTCTCCTCTCTGGCTTGCTCTATATAACAAGCCACCCTGCACCATCTCTTCTCACATCTGAAACAGAAACAGCTAGCTAGCTAGACACATATTTTCAACAGATTCAGAGAGGCAAAGAGCGAGAGAGCCACGGAGGATTATCAACCCAGCTAGCTTCCATGGAGAGGGTTGCATCAAGCTGCGTCAGCCTCCTAGCACAAAGGTCAGCTATTAGTTAGCTGTAGCTCTGCCATGAAGCTTTAGTTTGTTTGTTTTCTGCCATGTTCCTTTTTTTAGGTGTATTGATGAAGAGTTATTATTCTGGTGGTACGTGTGGTCTGCAGGAGGGCCTACTCTGTGGCCGCGGCCATGGCGAGGGGCGCCGCACGGAGGGGCGCCGACGAGAAGAAGGCGGCGGCGGCGGCTGCGGTGACCAAGCGCGTGATGGGCAAGAAGGAAGTGAACACGGCTGCCGCTGCGGCAGAGGAGAAGAAGGCGTGGGTGCCGGACCCTGTGACCGGCTACTATCGCCCAGCAGGTAGCGCTGCCAAGGAGGTGGACGCGGCGGAGCTGCGCGCCAACCTGCTGGCGGAGGCTGCGGCCAACTGATGATTAATCAAACAATCACCTTGTCGAACTCGAGCATGAGTTGGCTGTCCGTCCACGCCTTATCTTGCTTTAAGATCCGCGCTCGTTGATCGCCGGGCTCCTTGGCCTAGGGCATGAGGGTGCTGTGTATCGTCGTCTGTTCTTTGCAGCATAGTATAGTATCGTCCGCAAGTGCTCCATCTTCTTTTTAAGACGACGGAATAGCTCCGGCTTCTACAGGCTACAGCCATACACGTCCAAGCCTTGCTATATCCCATATATATTTTATGCTCAATCGCTGTCCTCTGATTATCTGCACATCATATATCTGAATGATACATATATATAATAAGCATTTCCCTTCTTGTCTCTGGCCACGACCTTCTTGGCTACATCAGTCCAGAAGGACAGAACAGAACATTGCAAGGTTCATGGTTAATTTCAGTTGTTTCATAGCCCATGGTTAAATATATATATTTCAGTTTGATCCGTGCAGTTAACTTCAGAAGCGGAATGTATGTCTGATTTTTTAATCCTGTACTGTACCGATGTTTATCTCTTCTGTATGAATAGCTTTACGTTGACCTAGACGAAGAGTCTACAACTAATTAAATGCTAGTACACAACAGTGTCGTCGTCCTATGTGCTGCCCCTCTAATTTGCTAGGTGCGACATTTACACAGTCCCTTCCCTTTTAACAGTCTGCAACACCCACTAAGTCCAATGATCTGCGAAACCCTTTCTCCCCCGAACCACTTTGAGGAAATTCGATTTGACCTTGTCATATACCTTCTCAAAAACTATTTTGAAAATTAGATCCTTGTCACTTGTTCTGCTCAATTCATTCATCACCTCATGAAGGACTACAACCCCTTCTAGAAATATTCCTACCATTGACAAATCCTGTATGGTTGGCAGTGTTATCCTAAACGTTAAACGGTAAATAGTCGGTCACCTACCGTTTAGCCCGTTATTCGGGCAAAACGGGTGTTTAAACGGGGAAAACGGCCGTTTAAACGGTCAAAACAACCGATTAAACGGAAACGGTGTACCACCGTGTAGCGTTTAAACGGTGTGTAAGCGGGCTAAACAGCCGTTTAGGCGAACAGTGATGGTTGGCCCCAATTACCTTTTTGGCGACTTCTGTAACAAGCCTATTTGTCAGAACTTGAGTGAAGCCCTTATAGTCGACATTGAGAGTAAACAGATTGACCTATACTTCTTAATTGTATTAGCCTCCTTGATCTCAGGAACCAAAGTAATGACTTGAAAATTTAGCCGTTTGATATTAATACATCCCTGGTGAAAATACTAGAACATGTGCATGTAATCAGGTTTAATGGTCTCTCAGAACTTCTTGAAGAAATTGACCCCATATCCATTTGTGTCAGGTGGAGAATCTGATTCCATCTCAAAGATGGCTTTGTAATCTTCCTATTACTCAAAAGATTTGATTAAACCTTCTTATCTTTTGTCCCCAAATAGGTTCTTATAGAAACCTACCACATGATCCATATTATCATTTTGTTCACCAATTATTCCCTGTTCAGTTCCTATCTTTTGTCGGATGCAAATATTCTGTCCACCAGAGTTTAGGATAACCTTGTATATTTGTGGGCCATAAGCCAAGCCTTTGGTGGGGGGGGGAAATGTGGAGAAGTCACCTGGTCACATGCAACTGAATTTTGTACTGTACCTCCAACCGTCTTATCTGACTTATCACGTTCTAGTTCTTGGCAATAAGATAGAACAGGACAGATCCCAAGCACACTTAAACATATTCATGATTTGACTTTGCTTATTCCTAACGGCCCATGTCAAAATTTTCCTGGACGATGACATGAAGGACACGTACGTACGTACCATGAATAAGATATTTGTAGTGTCATATAAAGCGTTTACTTTTTCACATCCAGATCTGAAAAATCCCAGAGCTCGTTTTTAAATGCAACTGTGCGCAAGATATCCTGACATAAGCCACAAAGTAATCGATGCCTGAATCTTTCTCGATAGGTTTCAACTGTGTTCGTGACCGAATCGTCCTCACTGAACTATTCGATCACGAATTGCTTTCCTTTTGACTTGGATGCACTAATTCCAAAAAGGTAAATAATATGCTGTGATTAAATTTGGCTCTTCAAGGGAACTGCAGACAATTTTGCTATGTATCTAGATATAATATATGTCTAGATACATAGCAAAATCATGTAAAAAATCAAAGTGAGGAAGTATTTGCCTACGAGGAAAATATTGGGCAGAGACGGTTGCAGTCCACAAGTTTGTTTTCGGGAATTCAAAGCGACATATATATGTGCATATCCAGATCGGTCTTGCCAACTCTGTATAAAGCATGGATAGTAAGCAAATTTGCTTTCATGTGTGGCTTGGCCTTGTCCATCTCTCTCTTTCAACGTATCATTTTTATGTAGTGCATAATTCGCATAGATATCTATACGGCTGCTCAAGTGGCCTTGCAGAGCACTTATATATATCTGCTTTTGCCCATTTGTTCAGAGGCCACAGCTTTTCGTATCAAAAGCAGAGGTTGAGTACTTGTCCCTGATAACTTAACAAGAATATTGGAGGCTTCATTTATCTGTGTGTCAATGCCTATATTCAACCCCAGTTCGGACCATGATAACTTATATAGCAGCTGACATGCATGTCCTTCCATTTGCACCTATTTTGAATATACTCCCTTCATCCAAAAATATAAGGTCCAAAAAATTTAGAACAAATTATGAAGTACTCCCTCCATCCTGAAATATATGCATTCCGACATTTGAAATTTGTCCTAGAATATAGTGCATTCCAGGAACAAGAAGATAATGTTTACTTAAATAAAAATACGTGATTACTTTGTATAAGGAAAATAAATCATGTACTTGCCATATTTTGTATAAGGAGAATGAGAGTTCACCCTTTAATCATGTGGGATAGAATTAGATTTCAATAAATTAGGAAGTTAAGTGAGGGGTACATGTGTCTATTGCATTCGTCCCTATTTTGTCTTGAAATTGCTAGAATGCACTATATTTCAGGACGAATGAAGTAATGCAAATGACGTGTGCAACCCTCTCTTAACTATAAAATGACAGGTATGTATGTGACTGGACCTTTGGGATGTTAATTAATTCACCTAAAATATCTTATAACAATTTAGAATAAATTTTGAATGCTGTAATATATACCTTATATTTCAGGATGGAGAGAGCGATCCATACATTAGGTGAGCTCCATTTGTACAATCCTCCATATATTTTTAGTGTTTAGAACAAACATCATAAATAATATACTTTCTCCGTACCAAATTTTAAGTTGCTTTGACTTTTTAGTACATCCATTTTGTTATACACCTAGATATAATAATAATATGTCTAGATACATAGCAAAATGGATGAACAAAAAAGTCAGAGCGACTTATAATTTTGAACGAAGAGTATATAGCACTGGTAACTGTTTGGTGTTTTGGCACACAACGTGATGCGTATGATCAAATAGTAAAGAACACCTGACCTAACAATTAAAGGAAGCTAGCTAGCTACTCTCTTGAATCATGGTGCCCATGAGCCATGAATAGAAAAGGCTCTCTCTCGGTCGGAGCTACTTTATAACGGCTCGGCATTCGGCAGCATCAGCATGGTATAGGAGGCTACCGAACGTTTGGCGTCACCGAATGGCTGCATGCATGCGATGCTTGTCGGCCGGCGTTCACCGTTTCACGGCTTCTAGCTCTCGTTCATGTATTTTCTTCGGTCCGTGACGTCGATGCTGTGCGCAAAAGACCTTTATCTAGACTAGACGTCACGCAGTATACAAAGTCCAGTTCGATTATTCACCCGCAAAGAAGGAAAGAAGATTGTGACTGATGATTTATCAAAATCTGAAATGGTTTGACTTTAGCATCTTTTATATAATAAAATCTGAAATGGTTTGACTTAGTATCATCATACTTAGCTGCAGTATTTAATTAGGCTTTGATAAATCATCGATCAGTCACCTCACGATTTGGTCAAAAACACATGGACAAGTTGGCTCGTCACGGAATAAATCCTGCCCCAGCTCAAGTTGCCTGCCACGGATTCGGTCTCCCTCCTGATCTTTTGTGTCCAACCCCTAGCGTCTGTTTAGATCCTCTCATCTAAACTTTAGAGAAGCTCTAAATAGATGATCTAAAATTACCTCTAAATTTTAGTCCACCTCACATTAGAGCTTTCGACATCGAAAATGAGCTAAAGTGCTCTAAAGTTTAGAGACCTCTAAAGTTTAGAGGTAGGGATACAAACAGGCCCCTACTCGTGTGAATCTGATTCTGTTTCTGGTTGGCCTGCTTGATCTGCTTTTGCGGCAAACTCATACGTCTCGTACTTTTTCTTGTACTAACAAACGGTGTCCATGCATTGCAATGGAGCGTTCCTCTAGCTGCACGGTCTCATGAAGATTTATGGCTCAGAGGTTTATGTAACAGCCGTGTTCCGATATATATTAGAATCAAACTCTGTACCATCATTAGACACACAATCATAGGTGGTTCTAACCTATATGAACATGTATGGTGAGTTTAGAACCTATATGAGCATGTATGGTGAGTTTAGATCCCAGAGGAGACAATGAGAAGCGCATGGGCATCGTGGGAAGTAAAAGAAGACATGGAAGAATCGTTTCGCTCTTTAATATTATGCTAGCATATATGCCCGTATGTTGCAACGAAAATAAGCTATTAAACCTTTAATTTAAAATGAGAACAAGATTGTTATATGTCTATTCATTTTCGTTAAGTTCCTATGGGATTAAAATACAACATTAATAGATTTTTTCCATCGTAAGGCACATAAATATTTACTCATAAACATATCTTATCTTTATTTTCATAATATTCATGTGTTAGCAAGTAAGATGGTAAAGAGTTAGGGGCTGCTTGATTCCTTCGTCGGTACTGTGTTACCTTGCTGGCGAAGATACGGAACATACTTGATTGTTTGGATATGTTGCTGAACTACCTTGGAGCTAGGCAGTGCCTT